GTATCACCTGCTGAAACGTGTGAACTTTAAACGGAGATGGCAAACCTGGCTGACGTCATCCGTACAGCTGAACGGTATCACCTCGACATCCTTGTGATGTCGGAAACACACCCCCTCGACCAGGGAGAAATTCGCCTTTAAAAGGGACGGCAGATTCACTGTTCTGGGAACCAGCATTCCAAACGCGAGTTAGAAGCAGCAGTGTTGGAGCCCCCAGGAACAGTGAAAACCTTGGTCTACGTCACGAACGACCGGATGCTTATTTGCCCACTCGCAAAGGTGAAGGTCAACATTGTTGTCATGCGTGTCCCCATCAATGCCGCGGACGGTCAAAGGAAGGGTGTGTTCCACGTGTCTTTACACGCAGTTCTCGGTTGTCTTCCATTCTATCAGTTATCGATCGTCGCCGGTGACATCAGTGCATTGGTCGGCGGGTAAAATTCCACCTTACATCATGTGATGGGCCAATATGGGTCCGAGACGCTGAATGACAATGGTCGACGGCTGCCACACCTTTGTTCCACGAAGGGTTTCGTTCGGTGATACGCTGTTTCCTCACAGTCAAATCTATCAAGTGATGTGGACAGTGCCAGGTGATGGCTTCATGGTGATCGCAAAGCTCTGCTTCCAATTGGCTATGTACCTGAGAACACAACGGAAAGGGGTGAAGGCTAATTCGACACCAGCAGGCTGAAAAATCCAGAAAATGGCACCGCGTTTCGAGAGAAGACCAGAGCGTATGCGCTGCTATAAAGGATATGACATGCAAGGTCTTCGAGTTACAGTACCAACAGCTTAAACAGGACTGTCAATCGTCGGTACCGCAGGAAATATATTCGGCCTAAGCAAAAAGCCAAAGCACCCGTCGGTCTCGGTCGAAACGCTCACTGTTCGCCGAAGAAGAAACGCAGCGAAGTAGGAATGCTTACAGAACCCTGGAGAGACGAAGAAGCGAGAGTATCGTCATCTCGTGCAAGCAGTCTGCAGGAGTTACCGCTGTGGCATAAGACACTGGATGGAACTTCAAGCACATAACCTGGAACTGGCGGCTTCGAAGAAGGAGGCCAGAGGCTGTACAAACAAGTCATCATCATCACAAGTAGCGGCAAACATAAACCCCTAACTTGTCTGATTCGCAGCAAGCTCAACGAGGCCTTTCGAGATTCAGACAGACATCAGAGGAGATGGGCTGAACACTTCGAAGAGCTCCTAATCCGGCCCTGGAAATACAGTTATAAACCAAGAAGAACTCAAAATTGAATGTTTTGTTCCACCGAAAGATGAAATCCGAGAGGCCATCTGTGCCGAAGTTCGAAAACCTGCCGGTAGGACAGGATTATTGCAGAACTTCTGAAGTTCCCAAGCGAACCTCCGCTGGAATGAATCCATCTGGTGTTTGACAGCATCTTGCGGACGTGAGAAATTCCTGGGAACTGGAAACAGGACGTCATCATTCCCATATTTAAGCCTGGGAATCGTTTTTATTGCGTCGGCTACGGCGGGATCAAGCTTCTGCCAGTGTTGAAAAATGAATTCACGCGAATCCTGCTCTGATGACTGAAGAACACAGCTGAAGATTCGATCAAATCAAAAAGGTTTTCGAGCTAGAATCTCATGTACGGATAACATCGTCTAATAAAGATAATCGAGCAGGGAAGGAACTTCCAACTGCCCTAGCCATGTAGCCTAATTCCACCTCTGAGGAGCTATCGACTCAGTGACCTCCAGCCGTCCTTGTGGCGCATATTGAAAATCGTCGGTCTGCTGAAACAACTGTGCAAAGGTACTGAAAGCGCCATCAGAACAGAAGAGTCGTTTTTCAACAACAGCTGGTTTAACAACAACAATGGAGTGCATTCACCTCTATTATTCAGCATGGTGGTAGATCATACGATACGGAGGAGCGTCATCCCCTACACCAGTGAGGGTTTCCTATCAAACACCCGCTCAGCCAAACGTATCCAGTAGTACCCAATAGATCTCGAGTAGTTGGCCACATTGTACTGCACAGGGCTTACCTTTACTAGCTTGAGATATGCGCAAAGTAGCCTCGACAGTAGGATGGGAAGTTAACCACACCAAAGCGGATATCTTGCGACCACCCGACTCGACTAAAGGCCCAAAGTCTCAATGGAGCCGAACGACCATGCAGGAGGTCGAAAAGTTTACGTACGTTGTCTCAAGTTTAGGTAGTGGCAAGACATTAAAACT